TTGATGGAGTTTAACCATGTTACCCAGGCTGGTCTTGAACTTCTGGGCTCAAGTGATTTACCCACTTCAGCCCCCCAGAGCACTGAGATTATAGTGTGAGCCACCACACCCAGTTGGGATAGTTTTTATTTTGTTTTGTTTTAGGGTCACTGGGACTCTGTGTTTTATGAAGCTAATGCTATCATAATAGTGATGACAGTTAATTAACACTCATTACACCCTGCCCATAAATCTCAGTTTGCTTTATAAATTTCAGATATCCATACATTATTTTTACTGAGTTGCCACAGAGGCAGTTTTTCTTTTTCTTTTCTTTTTTTGTGAGACAGAGTCTCACTCTGTTGCCAGGCTGGAGTGCAATGGCACAATCTTGGCTCACTGCAACCTCTGCCTCCTGGTATCAAGTGATTCTCCTACCTCAGCCTCCCAAGTAGCTGGGACTACAGCTAATTTTTGTATTTTTAGTAGAGATGGAGTTTCACCATGTTGGCTAGAGTGGTCTCCGTCTCTTGACCTCATGATCTGCCTGCCTCGGCCTCCCAAAGTTACTGGCATGAAAGATGTGAGCCACCGTGCCCAGCCAAGGCAATTTTCTAATGGTTGAGCTGCTTTGAAAGGAATGATTATGTCTTCTACAAAGATGATAACTGCATCTTCATGCTCTCCAAATGTTCTTCCTTGTCCACAGGATCCTGTTGAGTTTTACTTATGAGAAGATGCTACAAACGTTTAGTAAGAAAGAAGGCAATAGATTTGACAGCAGTATGTGCATTAATACATTCAACAGATTTTGTACATGTACTATGTACTAGATACTGTGCTAGATGCACAAGATATGAGATGAGATTAGATAGGAGAATGAATGGATGTTTCAATTCTTTAGAAGTAGTTTAGCAGAAACTCTAATTATATTACAGCTAGTGCTCGACTTACGACCACGATTGGTTCCGACAGACCAGTCGTAACACGATTTGGTCATAAGTTGAGTAGGCTGTATGCACGCGGAGATGGTAGTGCTGCTGGAAGCTGGTCTGCACTGTCGTACGCCCAGCTGGGCAACGTTTGCGCTGCCAGACGCGGAGCAGTCGTGGCTAGCGATTGTGGTCGTAAAGTCTAATGGTCGTAAGTTTCATAGGTCGTAAGTCGATCAATACCTGTAGTTTGATGTTTGTTTTTTGAGATATTTAGTCCTAGGAATGTTGCTATAACCCCCTGTCATGCTTTCACTAGACTGTGGGTTCTCTTTTGAAGGGATTCAAGTGCTAAGAGATCAGCTGGGTTGATCCCTTCCTGGCGTCACATCCCAAAGTCGCATAGCAGTAGCATCCTGGAAGTGGACTCCACAGCATCCATGGGTGGCTGGACAAAGAGTCAGCCTTTCTCAGGTAAGCAGGAGGACACTGGATTTGAGCAGCAGTTTTGTCTGGGGAGCAGCCTTAACTGAGCACTTTTGAAATTAGAGGACAGTTACAGTTTGAGTATTACATCAGAATGTAAATGTAGAGCCATTTCAGTTGCTCCATCTTTGGATTTATCTGCTTTTTGTTTTCCATCACAGCCTGCCTATTTCTTTTTACTCGGAGAGAGCCCTTGTGGGAGAGAGAAGGGACAGAAATATAGGGAACAGTGTTAATAACAGCTCCATTTTTCAGGAGAATAAATTCTAGGGCTTTCCCTGGTTTAGGGACAGTCTCTTGGGAAACAGATTTCTTATTGTTTAGTACTATGAACTGATATACCGTAGGGATACATGTAGGCTATTTGCAAAACTTGGAAATAAGTAATTAAAATTTATCCTTATCCCTGCCTAAATATCTTAGTCTTACTACCAATTGTGTTGATAGTTACTGAAAATTCTTGGAGGTAGCTGGAAGAAAAGCCTGCAGCAGCAATAAAAAGGCATGAACCCTTTTAGATACATATACTAAAGATTGTGGACATCTGGCAGAGCAGAACAATGCTAGGCAGATATCACTGGAATCCTGGGCTCGAGTAAATTATAGTTAGAGACACGTGGAAGAAATTTGAGCTTCCCATTGTAATGATACATTTGGTTTATTCCCCACATTTTAATTTATTTCTTGTTGAATAACATTGTTTTGAGAAACTTGTGAATCATGCATGAGACAACTCTCCCTTCTCTTCAGACAGCCATCATTTTTTAGTACACTAAAGACTGAGTCTCATGATCTCCTGAATAGTCCTCAATTCTGGACTAGTTTATGTACACATATGGGTAAGCACCATTTTAAAAAAGTAAAATGAAGTCGTACTATACATGTTATTCTCTCACTCAATTTTTTACTTAATTTATGATGGACATCCTTCTAGATCTATTTGGATTCCTCAAGAAAGTTTATGAAATTGGATTTTTACTGCTGTGGACATTTTACAAATTCAAAGAGGTGGTGGAAATTAAGGGTGAGAAAATGACATGCTTGAAGCTCCCCAGTCAGTCAGTGACAGCACCTAGTAGAAAGTGTTCTCTAATGATTAAAGCATAATTATGAATTTAACCTACTTGACTTTACTTTAGCTCCATTAGGCTGGGCACAGTGGCTCACACCTATAATCCCAGCACTTTGGGTGGCTGAGGTAGGTGGATCACGAGGTCAAGAGATCGAGACCATCCTGGTCAACATGGTGAAAGCCCGTCTGTACTAAAAATACAAAAATTAGCTGGGCATGGTGGCACATGCCTGTAGTCCCAGCTACTCAGGAGGCTAAGGCAGGAGAATTGCTTGAACCCAGGAGGCGGAAGTTGTGGTGGGCCGAGATTGCGCCATTGCAGTCCAGCCTGGGTAACGAGCAAAACTCCATCTCAAAAATAATAATAATAATAATAATAATAATTTAGCTCCATTATTTCCCATTTGTTTTACCTGGGGCAAATTATCCTCTTTGTGACTCAGTTTCCTTATTCCTAAAATGGGAGTAATAACAGTTTCTACTTCATAAGTTGTTATTATGATTAAATAAAATAATACATGTAAACATGCTTAAAACTATTTCTGGCACATAGTAAGTGTTGAATAAATGTTCAGTGTGATACCATTGTTGTTGTGAAGCACTCAATAAATGTTGTTATTATCGTTCCTAGCCCAAGTCCCATCCTGAATCTGATTATGGAAAGTATCCAAAATATAAGCTCCAAATTGAAGGCAAGAATTCCAAAGGGAAAGTGTTGCAGTGGTCATAAATTCATCAAGTACTTAGTCTTGGTAATGGAAATGTGATGACTTATCTTCTCCCTTGCTTATATTACAGGTGAGGAGATATCTTCTAAAAGCGAACTGGATGAATTACAGGAAGAGGTGGCCAGGAGGGCGCAAGAACAGGAACTTCGAAGAAAAAGAGAGAAGGAGTTAGAGGCAGCTAAAGGGTTTAACCCTCATCCTAGCCGCTTCATGGACTTGGATGAACTGCAGAATCAGGGTAATTGTTGTGAGCATTAGGTTGTGTGTGATGGGGACAGACAGAAAGGTGGTAAAAAACATCTAAGCTTGTTAGTTCCCTGTTTTCTCTTTAGCAAAAATTTTTTTTTTTTTTTTTTTTCAAATCTTGATTCACCCTTTCCAGTGAGAGCAAGTTACAGTAGGATGTAACAAGACTGTTGACTGGAGATAGGCACTGATTTAGGGGCACATCTATTAAAAGCCTATAGATTAGAGATAGTATATTGTTCATGAAAAATGCTTCCCATGAACGTCTATTGAAGGTGTAAATAAAACTAGCCTTGAGTCAGAAATACCTGAAAAGGGCAGTGAGCCACACTGACAGTGAGGGGAATTCTACTTGCTGAGAAGAAACATACCCTTGAAATATTCCACCTGGGGCATCAGGGAAGTGGATCTGCCAAACAGGAGCCAGAACAAAGCCCAGTTTACTTTTGATTCCATGACAATTGATTCTCTAACCTCAAACAATTTGCATGGAGTTTACTTCCATGACTGCCCCATGTTAGATTTTTTTTTCTTCCTAGAATTTATTTTAGGATGTAACTTTGTACCAAAAGAGACTAGCCTTCAAAATAGGAGTTCAGCTAAGCTGAGGTATCTACCTTAAATTGGCCATGAAACCTATATCTTAGTTTTGTTTTCCCTATAAAATGAATATATTGTTTTTGTAATTCAGAAACCCCACTTACAACAAATTGTGCTGAAGCAATATAAAAGTCCAACCTTGTAAATGTAACCTTGTAACTTTGCTGGCTATTTTCTGTTGACCACTTTTCTCCTTTTACACATACTTAGAGAATCTTCCAGAGCTATGTAATCCCGTTTGGGGCAGCTTTTTTCCTTTAATACTACTCTCTTTTGATTCAAGGTAATTGTTGCCTTATATTTTCCAAGACATTGTATTACTTTCCAAAATCAGTTTTAAATTCCTAATGCTTAGCTGTCTCTGTTTGGATAGTCTTTTTTTCCCTATTGACCTCAAGCTATATCACATTGGTGTCCCAGGTTTATTTTGCTTCTGAAAAGAGGGGTCTTGTCATTTCCCTTCTTTCATTTTTTTCTTTCTCTGACAGTTGGGCAATAGATGAAAGTTGGGAGGAGATCTCACTGGCTATATTTCATTGACAATTCTCCATACACTCAGCATGAGCAAAGAATGAAGTGCTAAGATTCTAGAGGATAAGAATAAAATTTAGTACAGTGATAAAGTACGGCTTGTGTAGATCTCCGCAGAGAACTTTAATAAAAAAAATGGCTCTAGTCACCACCTCTGAATATAAAGGTTGTATACATTTAGTTGATTCCAAATATTATGAGAGAACTTCAGGTCTGGGGAGTAAAGGAAACCACATCTCTAGAGTGGAACCTGAGTGCCAAGTTCTTCAGAACCAACCTGCTGTTTCCATTGTCTTCCCATTGCTCTCAAAAAGTCATGATGAATTAGGAAGTGAATGTTAGGGATGGGGAAGAGCCTTTCTTACCATGTCCAGCCGGAGGTAAGTGGAGGATGAAGGACATTATGGGAGAAGTGACTCAGACACTTTGACTTTTTTTCCCTGCAACCTTGTGAAGGCTCACTGGCAATCCCACTTGTAGGTGAACTTACATTACAGCTTGCTGCCAATTTATGATTCTGAGTAAGTAGAGTGAGAATTCTTTTTCAAAAATTTCTCTGCCTGTACTTTGTAGCCTTTTCATCTGCACCTGCTTTGGCATACATTCACTTTGAGAGGAGGATGGAATATTCCCTGCTCTATGGGAAGGTGACTTATTTAGGGGTAGTTTTGGTGAGGAATGGCATGCTGAAAGTAAATACTTAGCAATGCTTATGAAAAGCATGTGTGTGTAAACCAAGAACGAAAGCAGTTTAACTGCCCTGCTTTGAATTAGGAAGTGTAGACCATCTGTGACCAAGAGGTGTACTGATTTTCCAGTTTAGGGTGGTGCATAGAGGACTGGGAGTTGGTGAAGTAAATAAGTGCTATGGATGACTGTCCACAGAATAATTAAGCTACCTTTCTCATAACATAGCAGTGAAGGTCTCAGTGGACATCTAGGGTGTTCTGACACTAGTTGGCAAGAATTGCACTGGAAAAGAGCAGTTCAATTCCAAGCATAAGAGTCTATCCTTTTGCTATATGGAATACTTTGTTCTTTTCTTGAGGGACTTCCTAAGGGTCTTGGTGTTGGAATATGTGGCCATTAATGGCATGCCTCTCTTTCATGGCCTTGGTAACATCTTGGTTAAGGCAAAATGGATGTCCTGTTTGTTTCAGAGAATTATTAATAGCAATAGACAGTTGGATTAAGGATAGACCAATGGCTTAGCAGCAAGGATCTCTGTGTACTGAAGGGAAACAACAGTACACAAGAAAAGTTGGAATGAATTGTAATGAAAATGAAAAGTGCTGGCCCTTTCAGGGAGGAGTGACGGCTTTGAGAGGTCCCTGCAAGAGGCAGAGTCAGTGTTTGAAGAGTCACTGCATCTGGAACAGGAAGGAGACTGTGCTGCAGCTTTGGCTCTCTGTAATGAAGCTATCTGTAAGTAACTCTAACTGCTATGGCTATGGCACTTTTGACTAACTTCACAATGGGTATTATTAGTGTTGTCACTCAGAAAGGATAAAAACAGTGTCTCCTCACTCTTGCTCTCCCAAACTGAGGTCCTTTAGCTGTCTTTGCCCTTCAGATTTCTAAGTGTGCCTGGCACTGTCACTGTGGCCTATGGATATTTACCAAAATAGCCTCAGCAAGGAATCCATAGATGATTTTTCCAGTCATCCTTACCTTCTTATTCCAGGATAAAGTTAGACCTCACATGTGAGATTAGTCTGTTATTTTGCTAGTCACTGACTAGTGAGTTGGAACTTATAGAAGGAAATGACTTCCCAGGCCTGTAACTTTTTGCTTTAATATTTAATTCTTTCTGTTTCTCCCCTACCTTCATAGTATACAGCTCCATAAGCTTACAGCAAGAGACTAAGGCTTAGATTTGGTATCAGCTTCTTGTATGTGACCCACAAGAAGCTGTGGTCTATAAAGACAGATGCAGGTTTGGATCTTATTTCTGCGTTGGCCATTGGGAAGAGAGGGTTGAGAATAGAGTGTGGAGACCGGAGTCAGACAGGTCAGTTGCAAAGGACAAGAGTGGCAATCTCTAAGATGGAAGCACCAGTTTGTCTTCCTGATTTATTTTAGTTTTGTTTTGTTTTTTAATTTGGATTAACCTGTTTGGCCTCCATGGCTTCCATCAATGTTCCTTATAGCCAGAGGCAGCTCTGTGCCCTGGACAGCATATGCATGGTCCATGCCTTGCATTCCTGCTGCATATTTTGAGTTTTACTGCATATCTTTGCTCAATTTTTGTTCAATTTTATTCTTTTTATTTTTGTTTGTGTTTTGTGTTCTGTTTCTGCTATATTTTCTTTTGCATTTTAGCTAAACTAAGACTTGCCCTGCATGGTGCCAGCTGTAGCACGCACAGCAGAGCCCTAGTCGATAAGAAGTTGCAAATCAGTATTCGAAAAGCACGGAGCCTGCAGGATCGCATGCAGCAGCAGCAGTCATCACAGCAGCCGTCGCAGCCCTCAGCCTGCCTCCCATCACAGGCGGGGACTCTCCCTCAGCCGACAAGGTAGTGCTTGGGAACCATGTTAGTTTATGGACGCCAGGGGAAGAAGTGACCATGAGTACTCTATAGCAAGAGCTCTCATTGTCTTGGCAGCTGAAGGGGAGAGAGGAGTCCTCTGAAAAGATTTTCTACTTTCAGGTCAGACATACAGTGAAAAACTCATTGTATTGCTGGTCCTTTCCTTAATAATTCCAAGCATGCAAAAAGTACAACATAATAAGTAGACCATTTGTCCACATTTCCTATAGATAACTTTAGTCCTGGACTTGTGTAATAACATGATTATTATATTTATATATATTATGTTCTTAGACATGGCAATCTGGGCCACATTTCATGTTGTAGTAGCTATTTATTTTGGGATTTCAATGTTTTCTGTCCTTATGGAAGCAGAGAAAGTAGTCTTTCTTGCTCTGATTGCACCATAGAGAAGAGACACAAAGGTTTCCTTTGCTTTGCTTCTGTATGGTCAGGACTAGTAAAAAAGTTCCAGTAGTCATTGTTGTAGTTCTCACATCTTAGCCCTTGAATTTGGCTTTTACTTAGAATAATTTAAATAAAAATTAATTTGAACTGTTAATAATTGTGAGTAGCTTTCAAAATATAAATTAATAAATGTTGTAAATTAACTTTTTTTTTTTTTTGAGATAGGATCTTGTTTTTTCACCCAGGCTGGAGTGCAGCAGCACAATCAAAGCTTACTGCAGCCTCAACCTCCTGGGCTCAATGTTCAAAAGGCAAATGTTCAAAAATGGTTAACTGCTAGGCATGGTGGCTCACACCTATAATCCTAGAGCTTTGGGAGACTGAGGAGGGCAGATTATTTGAGTCAAGAAGTTTGAGACCAGCCTGGGCAACATGGTAAAACCCTGTTTCTACAAAAAACACAAAAAATTTAGCTGGGCATGGTGGTGCATGCCTGTGGTTCCAGCTACTTGGGAGGATGGGGTGGAAGAATTGGTTGAGCCTGGCAGGTCAAGATTGCAGTGAGCTGTGATGGTGCTGCCACACTTCAGCCCGGGTGACATATTGTGGCCATGTGTTCTATAAAAAAAAAAAAAAAAATGCAGGTCTATTCGATGCTAAAGCACATGTCCTTAACCATTATGTAATATTGCCTTTTATGATTAGGCTTCCCATATTAGTATATCATATTCTTCATAATGTTATAAGGGTGACTGACTGGGTGACTATACCCTCAAAAGTTTATAGTATATTTTCATTCATATTTAGACATTTGTTTTGAATATAAGCAATTTAGATAGCTAACCCCTTTCCAGAAAACTTATACAACCTGATGTATGTGAGTGATTGAGATTTTATTTAATTCCTTGTAACGTTGAATTTTTAAAGTCAGAAATACAAAACAATTAGTGAGAAACCAACTAAATAGTTAACCCCTGCTCCTACTCCTAAATCTCAAGAGAGTCATATTGCTTTGGAGAAGCATTTCAGTGACTAAGAGAACCAAACTTCATTGACTTTACAAGTGGACAGAGGCAGTGAGGAGCCCTATAGGCCCAAGTTTGCCCGCACAAAGGGGCTTGTCCATTCACTGGCTGAGCAGTTCCAGATTATAAAAACATATTTGAAATGATTGATTTCTGTGTAGCCCCATGAGCCCAAATCACCCTGTATTTTGTAAATGTGGCCTGATGGTTCCTTTGGCTGGGCTACCTCTCAGGACTCCAGGTAGGACTTGCCTCCCTGTATAGCATCCTGGATTTTTGCTGTTTGGTATGAGTGATTTTCAGGCTTTGCTTACCTTCCATGTCATCTGCATGTGGGACTAGCTGATTTTGTTTCCTAATTTGCAAATAGAATGTGATTAGAATGGGACTTCACAGGTAGTGAAGGATATTGGCAAGGGCTCCACTTAATGCTACTGTGTACCTTTGGCGAGGGCATTTAATAAAGAGTATTAATATTACCTATTTACCTGGGTGTGAGCTGACTGTGTGCCTTTTCTTTTGTGTTACTCTGAACTATTGACTTTATTGTGCTTGTCTTCTGTTTATTTTTACCATTCCCTGTGTGAGTAGCTAGAAATGAGAATGGAATGAACAGTTCTTTCTGTAAGCATTCCTGTCAGTCAAGGCAGCTTATGACCAACTCTCTCCATTTGTTTCAGTGAACAGCCTATCCCGCTCCAAGTATTGTTAAGCCAAGAGGCCCAACTGGAACACTGCACGGATACAGAGTTTGGGGCCAGTTCTTTCTTCCATTCACCTGCTTCCTGCCATGAGTCACACTCATCACTATCTCCAGAGTCATCTGGCCCGCAGCACAGCTCCCCTAGTAGATCTGCCTTGAAGCTTCTGACTTCAGTTGAAATAGACAACATTGAACCCTCTGTATTCCACAGGCAAGGTTTACCCAAAACACCAGGGTGGACTGAGAATAATTCTCATCATAGTTGGGAGCCATTGGATGCCCCAGAGGGTAAGCTGCAAGGCTCTAGGTGTGACAACAGCAGTTGCAGCAAGCTCCCTCCACAAGAAGGAAGAGGCATTGCTCAAGAACAGCTGTTCCAAGAAAAGAAGGATCCTGCTAACCCATCCCTGGTGATGCCTGGAATAGCCACCTCAGAGACAGGAGATGAACACAGCCTAGACTGCAGTCCTTCAAATTCATCAGCTCAGCCCAGTCTTTCTCTGTATAGAGCCTGCCACCCCATAATGCCTGTTGCTTCTTCATCTGTGCTTCACTCCCCTGATCCTGTGCAGAAAACTAACCAATGTCTCCAAGCCCAAAGCCTCAAAACTTCATTAACTTCACAAGTGGACAGAGGCAGTGAGGAGCCCTATAGGCCAGAGTTTCCCAGCACGAAGGGGCTTGTCCGTTCACTGGCTGAGCAGTTCCAGAGGATGCAGGGTGCCTCCATGAGGGATAGCACAGGTTGCAAGGATAGAAGTTTGTCAGGTAGTCAGAGGAAGAACTCTTCCCCTTCTGATTCTAAGCCTCCTTTCTCACAGGGTCAAGAGAAAGGCCACTGGCCATGGGCAAAGCAACAATCCTCTTTGGAGGGTGGGGACAGACCTCTTTCCTGGGAAGAGTCCACTGAACATTCTTCTCTTGCCTTAAACTCTGGACTGCCTAATGGTGAAACTTCTAGGGGAGGACAGCCCAGGTTGGCAGAGCCAGACATATACCAAGAGAAGCCGCTTCAAGTGAGAGATGCTAGGTCTAAGGATCTGAGCAGCAGTACTGACTTGGGGACTTCTTTGCCTTTGGATTCCTGGGTGAATGTCACAAGGTTCTGTGATTCTCAGCTTAAACATGGGTCCCCTGTAACCTATCCAGAGAGAAATCACATCCTTTTGCATCCACATTGGAACCAAGACACAGAGCAGGAAGCCTCAGAATTGGAGTCTTTGTACCAGGCCAGTCTTCAGGCTTCTCAAGCTGGCTGTTCTGGATGGGGGCAGCAGAATATGGCCTGGCACCCACTTAGGCAAACAGGTAAGAATGCAACCAGGGGTTGTGGAGAGGATTGAGGATCATATAAAAGCTGAAAGTGCTGGGTGTGGTGGCTCACGCCTGTAATCCCAGTACTTTGGGAGGCCGAGGTGGGAGGATCACCTGAGGTCAGGAGTTCGAGACCACCCTGGCCACCATGGTGAAACGCTGTCTCTACTAAAAATACAAAAATTAGCTGGGTGTGGTGGTGGATGCCTATAATCCCAGCTACTCGGGAGGCTGAGGCAGGAGAATTGCTTGAATTCAGGAGGTAGAGGTTGCAGTGAGCTGAGATTGTGCCACTGCATTCCAGCCTGGGTGAAAGAGCAAGACTCCATCTTGAAAAAAAAAAAATTTAAAAAGCTGAAAGCAGGTAAAGATCAGAAGAAGGGGATGTGCTATACAGATGGTATCCCCAGCTTAGTAAGAGGTAGTAGAGCTTTTGACTTTACTCAGAAAGCCTTCAGGACAAGAACTAGGCATTTTTCTGGCTAGAGTGGAGGAAGGAGCAGAATTAACATTCACAAGCAACTTCCCTCCTTCTGAAGTAAGAGACTACTAAGTATTTGCCCATGGCTTTTCTAGTATGCTGTGCTAAATAATGGTTTACAGGTCTTTGAGAGTGATTCAGCATGAAATGGGGGAGGCTGAGAGGAAAATACATTCTTCTATGGCTTAAAATCCCAAGATTCAGTCTCCAGGTCCACTTTGCAGTAGGATGTCCATATGCTCAGTGTGGACATTTTCAGATCATACTAAACCAGCAATATCAAGACCTTCCCTGATCCCTTTAGGAACAGTCAAGTTTAGTGTTCATGGAATTTTCAATGTAGTATATGCCTATAGGGTAGCTCTTCACTGAGATAATACAGAAGGAAGAGTAGGGCCTGTACCTGAAGTGTACATCATAGTCAGTTCTGGAAATTGAAGACATGAAGAATGTTTTCACTTACATTGATGTACTTAACTACAAAGCCTGAACTGTTTTCCTGGTTCCAACATTAACTCGCAGTATAAATTTGGACAAGTCACTTAATATCCCAGGACCAAGGTTTTACCTGTAAACTGTGAGAATTGGTTCAGTGATTTTTTTAAAAAAGCTATGTTCTAACTCTAAAATGACATGTATGACATGTAAAATTGAACTTGGAGGCTGGGGGCGGTAGCTCATCCCTATAATCCCAGCACTTTGGGAGGCCGAGGTGGGCAGATCAGCTGAGGTCAGGAGTTTGAGGCCAGCCTGACTAACATGGAGAAACCTCATATCTACTAAAAATACAAAAATTAGCTGGGTATGGTGACATGTGCCTATAATCCCAGCCATGCAGAAAGCCGAGGCCAGAGAATCACTGGAACCTGGGAGGCAGAGGTTGTAGTGAGCTGAGATCGTGTTATTGCACTCCAGCCTGGGCAACAAGAGTGAAACTCCATCTCAAAAAAAGAAAAAAAAATTAAACTTGGCGAACTTTCTCCTTAGCTTGGCTATGACAATTTCTGTAATGGTACAGGTTCCTTGCATGTTGACAACCAACATTTAATTACAGCTAAGTAAGTGTTTATTGAGTATTTACTGTGTTCCCCAGAGCCTTGGGGGGAATACCATATAAATTTAAGATTTGATATTAGGATACATTCCTGAGGATCCATATCCTAGCGTAGGTTTTGCAATAACATTTATAAGTGATCTTTAGGTACGTAGGACTAGATGATATGGGAAAAATCTAAAGAATAAGGGAAAGCTGGAGTCTGCCTCAATGAGCTTTCTATCTAAAGAAGCAAGAATACACACTTTTTTTTTTGAGATGGAGTCTCACTCTGTTACCCAGGCTGGAGTGCAGTGGCACCATCTCGGCTCACTGCAGCCTCCGCCTCCTGGGTTCAAGCTGATTCTCCTGCCTCAGCCTCCTGAGTAGCTGGGATTTCAGGCATGTGCCACCACACCTGGCTGATTTTTGTATTTTTGGTAGAGACTAAAAATAGGATGGAGTTGTTGGCTAGGCTGATGTCGTACTCCTGACCTCAGGTGATCCACCCACCTCGGCCTCCCGAAGTGCTGGGATTACAGGTGTAAGCCACTGCACCTGGCCACAAATAATTATTTAAAGAATAATAATAAAAATACAAAATACTAAATTGCAAAATTGAACTAACTAGTTGAAAGTTAAAACTTTTTTTTTTTTTGAGACTTAGTTTCACTCTTGTTGCTCAGGCTAGAGTGCAATGGCATGATCCTGGCTCACTGCAACTTCCACCTCCCAGGTTCAAGCTGTGGCAGGTGCCTGTAATTTCATGTATTCAGGAGGCTGAGGCAGGAGAATCACTGGAATGGGGCAGCAGAAGTTGCAGTGAGCCAAGATCAAACCACTGCACTCCATCTCAAAAAAAAAAAAAAGGCAAGGCACATTGGTTCATGCCTGTGATCCCAGCACTTTGGGAGGCCAAGGCGGGCAGATCATCAGGTCAGGAGATCGAGATCATCCTGGCTAATACGGCGAAACCCCGTCTCTACTAAAAATACAAAAAATTATCTGGGTGTGGTGGCACGTGCCTGTAGTCACAGCTACTCGGGAGGCTGAGGCAGAAGAATCGCTTGAACCCGGGAGATAGAAGGTGCAGTGAGCCAAGATCACGCCACTGCACTCCAGCCTGGACGACAGAGCGAGACTCCATCTCAAAAAAAACAAAAAATTAGCTGGGCGTAGGGGTGCATGCCTGTAATCCCAGCTACTTGGGAGGCTGAGGCATGAAAATCACTTGAACTAGGGAGGCAGAGGTTTTGGTGAGCCGAGATTGTGCCACTGCACTCCAGCCTAGGCAACAAGAGCGATACTCTGTCTCAGAAAAAAAAAAAAAATTATTATGTTTAAAAAACAAAAACAGTCTGGGCGCAGTGGCTCACTTCTCCCAAAAAGTGTAATCCTAGCACTTTGGGAGGCTGACGTGGGCAGATCACTTGAGGCCAGGAGTTCAAAACCAGCCTGGCCAACATGGTGAAACCCCGTCTGTACTAAAAATACAAAAAAATTAGCCACATATGGTGGTGGATGCCTGTAATCCCAGCTACTTGGGAGGCTGATGGCAGGAGAATTACATGAACCCAGGAGGTGGAGATTGCAGTGAGCTGAGATCATGCCACTGCACTCCAGCCTGGGCGAAAACAAAAACAAAAAATCTCTTCTGTTACCCAAAATAGCAACATTTTTGTATTGTAGGTAGTTTGAAAATACATAAAGTATCAAAAATCACTGATAATGTCACTCAATATTTTCATAAGCTTAACCTTTGGTTTTCATTTTTAAACATATATACTATATATTGTTTTGTTTTTGCAAAAGGCAGTATCTTTACAGTATATGTATACAGTTTAGTCTCATGACTTTCTCATGTTATAACTATGAGCATTTGCTGTAAAAACTACCTTTAATGGTTATAAAGTATTTTATATAAATGTACTATAGTGTATTTCTTCAACCATCCTACCATTCTACTGTTGTTGAATACTTAGGTTACTTACAATTTTTTTTTTTTTTTTTTTTAGACAGTCTCGCTCTGTCATCCAGGCCAGAATACAGTGGTGCAACCTTGGCTCACTGAAACCTCCACCTCCCAGGTTCAAGTGATTCTCCTGCTTCAGCCTCCGAGTAGCTGGAACCATAGGCGCGTGCTAGCATGCCTGACTAATTTTTTGTATTTTTAGTAGAGACTGTGTTTTAGTTTCACTGTGTTGGCCAGGCTGGTCTTGAACTCCTGGCCTCAAGTAATCCACCTACCTCAGCCTCCCAAAATGCTGGGACTATAAGCATGAGCCACCGTGCCTGGCTTATAATTTTTTAATAACATAATACTGTGATGAATATCTTTGCACTTAAGTGGCCACATTTCTCATGAGCTTCGTAAACTTTTAGAAGACTAATAACTAGTTGAATGTTATAAACTTTTTTTTTTGAGACAGGGTCTCGTGTTGTCTTGGCTGGAGTGCAGTGGCATGATCGCGGCTCACTGTAGCCTTGACCTTCTTGGCTCAAGAGATCCTCCCACCTCAGCCCCCTGAGTAGTTGGGCCTACAGGCATGCACTACTATACCTGAAAATTCGAATGCTGTAAACTTAAAAAAATATCTTGATACATACTGGCCAGTTAGCCTTGAGGAAGACTATACTTCTGAAAACAGTATGAAAGGGTACTTATTGACCATTAATTTTTTTTATCTTGTAGTGTACAGAAATGAATTTTAAAAACCTAGTAGTCAATCAGTTCTCAATATATTTGTCAGATCAGGCTGAGCTTGATGGCTCATGCCTGTAACCTCAGCTACTTGGGAGGCTGAGGCAGGAGAATCACTTGAGGCCAGGAGTTTCAGGCTGTACTGTGCTATGACCATATGCTTGTGAATAGCCACTCTCCTCCAGCCTGGGCAACATAGTGTGAGACCTTATCTCTAAAAAAACAAAAACAAAACTTGTCAAATCAAACTAGTGTTTATTTTTGTTAGAGGCCCTGGTTTAAAAACTAAGTCCTTAAGAAGTGACATGACAGGCTGGGTGCAGTGGCTGACGTCTGTAACACCTGCACTTTGGGAAGCTGAGATTTGAGGATCATTTGAGCCCAGGAGTTCAAGACCAGCTGGCCAACGCAGTAAGATCCTCATCTCTACAAAGACTGAGAAAATTAGGTGGGTGTGGTGGCGCACACCTGCAGTCCCCGCTACTTGGGAGGCTGAAGCAGGAGGGTCAACTGAGCCCAGGAGGTTGAGGCTGCAGTGAGCTTTGATCGTGCCACTGGACTCTAGCCTAAGCAACAGAACAAGACCCTGTCTTAAAAAAAAAGGATTGATATGACATAGAATAAAGAAGTGATCAGGTGGAATTAATCAGGAAGTAGATGATGAAGGAAAATGCCAATTAGGATCTGTATGTGAAAAAATAGAATTTGAGAGGAGTCCTTTATCTTACTATAAAATATTTACTAAGCACCATATTACTTTACTTTTTAAATTTTATTTA